GAACTAAAGAGCCTCTTGATGAAAGTGAAAGAGGAGAGTGAAAAGGTTGGTTTAAAGCTCAACATTCAGAAAACTAAGATCATGGCATCTGGTCCCATCACTTCATGGCAAATAGTTGGAGAAACAGTGGAAACAGTGGTAGACTTTATTTGGGGGGCTCCAAAATCACTGCAGATGGTGACTGAAGCCATGAAATTAAAAGATGCTTACTCCTTGGAAGGAAAGTTATGACCAACCTAGACAGCATATTAAAAACCAGAGACAGTATTTTGCCAACAAAGATCTGTCTATTCAAGGCTATGGTTTCTCCAGTAGTCATGTACAGATGTGAGAATTGGACTGTAAAGAAAGCTGAACACTGAAGAATTGATGATTTTGAACTGCGGTGTTGGAGAAGACTCTTGAGAGTCGCTTGGACTGCAAGAAGATCCAACCAGTCCATCCTAAAGGAGATCAGTCCTGGGTGTTCATTGGAAGGACTGATGTTGAAAATGAAACTCCAATACTTTGGCCACCTGATGCAAAGAGCTGACTCACTTGAAAAGACCCGATGCTGGGAAAGATTGAAGGTGGGAAAAGGGGATGGCAGAGGATGAGATCATTAGATGGAATCACCAACTTAGTGGGCATGAGTTTGAGTCAACTCCGGGAGTCAGTGATGGACAGGGAGGCCTGAGGTGCTGCGATTCATGGGGTCACAAAGAGATGGATGTGACTGAGTGAACTGAACTGAACTATGTCATGTCTGATCTTTGTGACCCCATGGAATGTAGCCAGCCTCCTCTCCATGGGATTCTCCAGGTAAGAATACTAGAGTGGGTTGCCATTTCCTTCTTCAGAGGATCTTTCAGATCCAGGGATTGAACCTACTTTGTAGGTGGAGTTTTTTTTTTTTTTTTGGTAGGTGGATTTTTTACCACTGAGTCACATGGGAAGCCCCTTTCATTATAATGCTTACTGATGAAAAACTATTCATAGGAATACTAAAGAAGAGATAGTCTTTCTGAAGAGAACCTATAGTAAGCCAGCATCCTCTCAGGATTTTAAACTATTCCTTAAGAGAAAAACCAAGCCCTTTGGAAACTTTGTGCAGTAATTAAATTTTTTTAATTATATTAGAATTTATCAAGCATACTAGAAATGTTTATTGAATTTTTGCTGTGTACTGATCAGAAAATATATACACACTTAAAAACTATACACAAGTTTAAGAACTATAAAAAAAGAAAATAATCAAATATCAAATTATATGGTGGCCAGCTGATTTGACATATCAAATGTGAAATTATATGTAGAGTTAGGTGAGCGAGAGGGAGACTGCTCATCTAGGCAGACCCTGGAGGTGGAGGGTGTTAACACCTATAGTTCGGGGTTCTGTGTGAGAGCATGATCTGGTCTAGCAGTGGGTACCTGTGATGTGAAGTGGAAACGTAGAGTAAGGCTAGATGCTGGAAGCCCTGAAAATCTAGCAGAAAGACTTTAATTTGATGTGGCAGACACTCCAAACAATACAGAAACAAGCATTTTATATTGGAAAAATTATGGCAGTTGTATTTTGTCTCACTCCTAGCTTAAAAAAAAAAAAATCCAAATTTTAAAGGTTGTCTACTTATCAGAAAAATATAACTTAAAATAAAACTTAATTTTCTAAACCAAAATATTGTTTATTTGAGATTTAATTTAAATAACCAAAACCATACCTTTATGAAGAAAATGATCTAAGACTATAATATTGGCTTTCTGGTAAAATTAATACCATTAAACTAAAGTAAGGAGAAAAGCTCTGAATCTCTCATTTTAATTTTGTGACATTAACCACTTGGCAAAGAAAAATTAAAACTAAGACTGGAAGTCTTGATAAATCAGGTTTAAATTTCATACCCTATTAAAGAAGATATATCAAATGGATATATCCTACTCTCTAAGAAAATATGAAGTATCTTAGGTTATCCATCAAAGTAGATTCAATGTTAAATTTAAAAAGAAATATCTTTTTTTTTTTTTTTTCAGTTTTTGGTTTTGGAACTTTTTTGGGAAATTCATTTTTTTTTTTTTTTTTTTGTTTTCTTTGAGGGAGTTTTGGGGGAAAAAATATATATATATATAACACACAAATATACATATTTTTATGTGAGCGTCTCCCCGCGCCATCTCTTGTGTGGTTTTTGGCCCGCTGTTTTTTCCCTTTTTAACACCCTCTAGTGTGGATATCTCTATTTTTTCTCTATTTTTTCGCTGTGTATCCCCTGTGCCACAATTTTTGTATCTCAGTGTCACAGTGTCTCTCCTTTTTTTAGTTTTTCTTTTAAAAAAAAAAATGTAGATGTGGACAATGGCCTAGCTACAGGAATGGTCAATGCAATAGTGTTGAAAAGAGTGAAAATTTGAAATAATCTGATTCATTAAGAGCAAAGGATCCAACACATCATTTATAAACATATATGTATATATTTTGTCATCATTTTTCTTTTTATACTTATTGAATACAGTCAATGTGCATCTTTTATTTTTCCTGTGGTCCTAGTTTTTGAAGAAATGTTCTCAGCATGTTTACACGTTAACTTGTAAACACTAAGTGATGTGACTACACTAGTAGCTAAGTAGGACACTACAGGAACTCCCCAGGACGGGACTCTCCCCATGACCTCTGCCTGCCTTTTCTCTGTAGAAAACCTTCAAAGAATAAATTTAATCAGAGAAATGAGAAAACACAGAAAGGAAAACAGTCAAGCAAGAAAAAATTATAATATCAATAATTTAGCCACCTCCTCAGGGGCTAGAGGTAATATTTTGAGCCATGTCCTATGAGCTGTTTTGCAGATACTGAAACCCCCAGCAGGCGGAAGAAGTTTACTATATGCTGGCCCATAAGCACTAGCCCACAGGCACTTCTGAACCAGAATGTTGATGATGGTGACTCCCAGTTACTTCACCACCAACCAATCAGAAGAATGTTCATGAGCTGATCACATACCCCACAACCTCCCTCCTTCACCATGTCTTTAGAAACCTTCGCCTGAAAACTGCTTGGAGACTTCAAATCTTTTAAGCACGAGCTGCCCTGGACTCCTTGCTTGGTGCCTGCAATAAATACTGCATTTTCCTTCACCTCAACCCAGTGTTAGTAGACTGGCTTTACTGCATGAGGGCAAGTGGATTCAAGTTTGGTTCCATAACACAATGACCCCAACAGTAAGTCCCCTGAGGCAAAATCATGCATATCTCACCTGCCCCGGTACCTTTAGTATGCAGAGAGATGCTTGGCACAGAGGAGAGAGCCAATACAAATTTAACTGAGTGAAATGAGTTAACTATTTATAAGCTATAATCACACACTTTAAAACAAAATAAAACAAAAACAGAAGAGGCTTATAATAATGATAAAATATAGATTAAAAAATAAATGTAAATAAAAATAAGTGGGGGCGGGTAGATATGCAAACCATACAGAGCAAGAAGGAAGACCAGAGAGAGTCAGAAACGAGCTCATACCAAGAATCAGTTGTGTTTGCACTACATTTCAGGAAACCATACGCTGTCAGTGAGACAATAGAAGACAGTGGTTTAAAGTTAAAACTCTTAGAGTTAAGCAAACAGCATTCAAATCCTGACTTCACCAGGTATCAGGATCATCAGGAAACCAATAACTCACTTTTTCTGAGGCTCCTTTTCCAACCTGTAGAATAGAGATTTTATGACAGCATTGTAGGAGGGCTATAAGACTAATATGAGCTAATCCATGCTCGGTGCTGATGGTTCAGTGTTAGAACACAAGAAGAACTTAGTGTTGTCAAATTCCATTATCCCTATCTGTTGATACATGCAAAAGATACCTCTCAGTTCTTCCAGGTTGCATTTATTTCACAAAGTTCAATATTTATCAAGACCTATGTTTAAAATACTGAAGCCCTCAAGTCAATGCCTTCAAAAACCTCATGGAAATGGAAAAACAGAACCATTAACACATATTAGTGACTCAGGAGACATGTAGCGTAATAGAGGGATGCACAATGTTCTTTGATATGAAAGGAGTTGTTGATGAATTATCTGATGGACAGGCATGTCAGGAAGAAAGAAAAGATACCACAATAAAAGTGATACAGGAATTGGGACATGAAAGAGAAGTCAGAGTGTGTCAAGATAGGGAAAATGGAGGTGGAAAGCCATCCCGGGCAGAATTTAGCACAGAAGTCAAGGAACTGAGAGTTGGAAATAAACAGATGCAGACAGGGGCTGGAAAATGAATGATAAGATGCTGGTAGAAGGGTGACCTAAAACAAAATGCAATATTGTGCTGGGGTCAATTTCTGAAGGATTTTGTGTTTTAAGGCTTGCCATTTGGGGTTCATCAGGTAAGGAGCAAAGGAGAGTCATCTTGGGCCAAGAATGACATCGGTGTCTTAGATACTATGATTGTTACAGAAAAGAATATTGGGTTTAGAGTGGGAAGCGAGACTACAGGCCAAAGCACCACAGCAAACTCAGAGAACAAAGCAACACAGGCTGGAACAAGACAAGACATTGGGGCTGGAAGGAAGTAAACAGACACATGAAAAACGCCTACAGAGGCGCAACCAAAAGAACTGGCAGACAGGCCAAAGGGGCTTCACAGTGTTGATGCTATTTTGCTAGAGCAGTGATAAAATTAAGATAGGTAGTACAGAGGGAGGGCCGTGTGGAGTGGCAGAAAAAGAAGAATTTACTTATTTTTAAACTTGAGATTGTATTTACTTATTTTTATATTTTTGGCTGTGGCGGGTCTTCAGCGCTCTGCGTGGGCTTTCTCTAGTTGTGGCAAACACGGGCTGCCGTTAGTTGCGATGCAAGGGCTTCTCACTGCAGCGGCTTCTCCTGTTGTGGAGCACAGGCTCTAGTGTGCGCGAGCTTCATTCGTTGCAGCTCACAGGCTTTGGAGCACTAACTCAGTAGTTGAGGTGCATGGGCTTAGGTACTCCACGACATGTGGGATCTTCCAGGACCAGGGATTGAACCAGCATCCCCTGCATTGCAAGGCAGATTCTTAACCACTGGACCACTAGGGAAGCCCAAGAATTTATTTTTAAATACAGAGAATTGATATATCTCTGCAACACAAAGGAGTGATCAAAAGAAAAATAGAAATACGGCATTGTAGGTCAGACTGCAGATCTGGAAGCATTCTACACAGAGCTGGTCATCAATTTACAGGAGGGGGTGAAATCACATAGAGAGCAATGAAAGTTAAAAGGAAACCCCAGTAATGCCACTTACACTATCAATGAGGAGTACAAATTACCTAAAATAATAACTAGGCAGAACCTAGGAGAAGCAAACTACAAGCTATACTAAGAGATAAATGGAAACACCTTCATCATAGAGACAAGAGATTATGTGTGTGGATGAGAGAAATAATTTGGTTAAAGTCATCCATTCTCTAATTAATTTGTAATTGCAATTCTAACAAAAAACTGCAATGTAATTTTGGGAAGCTTAATAATATTATCCTAAAGTCATCTGGAGTAAGCATCTGAGAGTAGCTATTTTTAAAAGAGGAATAATGAAAGGAGAACCTAACACATATTAAAGTATTATAAAAGCATAATAATATAGTAGCAACTCATATACAGAAAGATTACTGTATTAGAAACTACAGAAATAGACACATGTACATGTAATTATGGAAATTATAAAAACCTTGACTTTCAAATCAGCAGGGAAAGGGATAACTTAATATGAAGCAACATATAAGAAAAGTTTTTCCTCTGACATGGATTGAGGAGAATGGAAGTCTGAGCTTTACATACACAGAGTGGAAAGCTTCA